TCACGACGCCAATCATCAGGAGGTACATCATCCGGCATCATGTTTGATACCATCTCCATCCATTTTTCATAGAACACTTCCAGGTTTGAGTCACCGAGATACTTCATTGATACGATGTGCTCCATAGTGAAGGCTGTCTCTCGTTGACCTGGGGTTCTGAAGTGCTCCAGGATCATAGCCAAGATTTCCCGTCCCATGACATAGGTTCCTCTTCGACTATGACTTTGTGTCCTCAATCTCAATTTGATCGCTACATGACGAGCAACATCACCGGCTTGGGCTATCACATTTGACAATGCAATTGACAACTTGGCGTCGATTGACTGATACCGTTGCCCTCCACTGTCATTCAATAGCTCGATGTCAGGATTTGGTCGAATAGCCGGTTGTAACCATGCTTCCCATGCGGCTTTGTCCCCATCATTGGCAGAAAGAACAACACTCTTGATGAGATCTGATTGCCAAACCCCAAGATTCTGTTGTTTCGGCCATGGGCTAACATAGACTTTGTCAGCCTCCCGTCTTGACATTCTTGGCACTTCTTCTGCAGTGTAAGCTGCTGTGGAGACATCATCTGCTGAATCGCGTTGTGATCCTCGAACTGAAGGTAAACCTGGAGGTTCAGGAGGTGGTCCTGGACCGTTAGGCCCGAAAGGGTCAGGAGGTCCATCAGGGTCAGGCGGACCGCCCCGTCCACTCGGTGGCTTGTAGTATTCCCTCTCAGTTCCATCAGCGATCTTGTTGTCCACCTCTTTCAGCAGATCAGTGATTCTTTTGCTTGATTGGGAAGGTTGTCGTTGAGGAGGTACAGCATGTTCACGATAGGAATGAGCCACATTTGTCTCATAGTTCAACTCCTTGTCGATCTGCGAAACCCAAGACTTCAGAATAGCGTTTTCACAGTTAGCCTCACTCACGTCATTCTCCATTTTGTCGATGACTAGTCTTGATGCGAGATCGTAGTTGGGAATGCCTGCCGAATAGGGAAGTGTGTCAGGGCTGACCCTAGATATGGATGTTTCAGAATCCTTGAGACTCTTTCTCATTTCATCTACTTGACGTTTCATGTCCATAATCTCAGAATTCTTGATACCGATCTTTTCATCCCTATCCTGGATTTCCCCCATGAACATGCATGATCTCTCATATTGCTGAACACCACTAGCCAACTTCATTTTGCGCTCACTCTCTAGTTCAGATTTTAGAGTTCGGACTTCAGCATTGGTGAGGGACGACGCCCCTACATCCGCAACTTCAGCCAACCTTTCTTTTAACAACAAGTTTTCTTGTAAACATTCATGAACTTCATGATCTAGGTCCTGAACCCTCATTTGAGCGATTTTAGCTTGATTACGTAGATCTTCAACAAGCATCTCATCGGGGCCACGACCGTCGGTCGTAGAACCCTGAGTCAACGATCTTCGTAACTTCGTGTTCTGCAACTTGATCTCATCCTTCAATTCGCAGTTCATCTCCTGCTCGTTGGCATAGAGCTCCTCATAGTGCTCTGCCCTTGCGATTGAGTTTGCGCTAGCCTGTGATTCAAGCCTCAGGTGTGATATTGCTTCGGCCTCTTGGTTCCTGTATGATGCAATTCTTCTGACGGTATCGTGTTCAGTGTTTCGATGCTTCAGATCACTTTCCAATTTGGCCTGATTTGCCTCGAACACCTTCTTCCTAGATTCTCTAGTGATCTCATCAATACTGCTCTCATACAGCTCGGCCTGTTTACGAGACTGAACCAAAGCTTCACTCAATAGCTGATTTCGCTCAGATAATTCATGAACTGCAATTGATTGTTGTTGGCTAATCACTTCAAGTTGATTACTAGAGAAGGATGCCATTTCGGATCGATTACGATATTCCATGATTGAGTTCTGGAAATCTGTTTGCATTTCTTGACCTTCATTGTATAGTCGATTGGCAATATCGGTGGTTAAGACATTGGTTTGATGAAGTTGTTGTAGTCTTGCCTCCGTATTACCCAGTAGTCCTTGAAGGTGATGTACTTCATCCTTGTACTCCTCCTGGATCTCCATACCACGTTGATGGATCCGTCGTGCACCATGTTCCATTAGGGCACCTCGGCGTTCAAGGTCTTGGATGCGTATTGTTGCACCTTCGTCTTCCTGAGATGCTACCATTAGTTCTGCTTGATATTCTGCAACCTCATTTGCGGAACATGACAATCTATGATTGAGTGCATTGACCTCATCAAATACATTCTGGTTGTGTTCCCGAAGATACTCAGTGAATCTGATCTCGATGTCATGAATCAGTTGATCCCTAGATGCAGCATATGCTTCCATGTTGTTCAGCTGATTACGTAGGGATTGACATTGTGCCCGTAGTTCTTCTATCATGGCAATAGGTTCACTAGCCACAGAAGTATCCGTTGATCTCCTCTTAACACGACTATCCCCGGTCCTCTCACCAATTCGGTCGGTCACGGCCCTGGTGGATCTGTCCCTTGGAGTAGTACGTCCTCGAGATGGTCGATGCCCTTGGCGGACAACATCACTCCGAGCACTGTTTCGAGAAGATCTAGGTGTACTTTGGGTGGATATTCTTCGTCTGTTTGATGTGACTTGCCATCCGGACTGTGTAGTTCGGGTAGAGCGTATCCCGCCACTGTCTGCCGTGTCGCCAGGGGAAGATTGATTAACCTCCTCGACCGGCATAGCAGCGTTCTCATTGAAGGTAAACTGCGTGGTGCGCGAATCTCCGCTGCCGCCTTGCATCTTTGCGACGATGAGCTGATTGGTCCTTTGCGTCCTCAATCAATTGCTCAGACGGCCCGGCTACCAGCACGCAGGTACCACTCTCCCGGCGAGAGAAGTGAGCCCTTACGGCTGATAACCTGCGAACAAATGAATCCTTGTCCTGGATGTTATTTCAGACCTGTGGTACTCTTGCTAGTGGTAGCCGGCAACTGACATGCGGAGCAACACGACGCGTCCCTTTTCTCCATACGCTTGAGCCAATGTTTGGCGGTCACAGCATGTTGTGTTAACACTGCATGCTGTACATGTTGTTTCACTTCGTTCCCTTTAACACATATTATATCATATTATATTGGTTCATATTATATTATACTATAGTAAAATATATTATATATTTTATATATACACATATATACATAATATATATATATATATGTAGATTATACACATAATATATATATATACACACATTATATATATACATATACATATACACATATATACACATATATACACATATATACACATATATACACATATATACACATATATACATAATATAATATCTACATAATATATATATATATATATTGTAAATATACACAGAATATATATATATATATACATACACATATGGTGTATATATATATATACACATAATATCTGTATATATATATACACATCATATATGTATATACATTACATACAATATATATATATGATATATACATAATATATGTATACATAATGTATATAATCCTTCCCCAAGACAAACATGACCCTGTTGGAAGACCATTTTCCTCTGCCATAGATGCTTTCCGCGTCCTGCACACCCTCATCCACCAAGTCATCCATGGAGGTGCTGAGCGTCCACGACTTTGCCCTGGGGTGAGAGACTCGGATCATTGAGGGATTGGCAGTGGGTCAAAACCCTGGTAATACCCCTGTAGTTCACATCAAAATAGCTGGGATTTATGGATGTGAATAACCCCCTAAAAATGGTATAGGTATTGATCCATAGCCATATGTGTTGAAAAAACATGCCGAACTTGAAGATGGAACTGAAATCTTGAGAATTTGGGCCCAAATCCTATGTTGCAGCGTTGTTCTAGGTAGACCAGTAGCCGGTAGCCTGGATAGCCCGCCTATCCCAGGCATGGCTTGCTCGGGAATTCTTACAGGTTTTGCCCCGCGTGTTTGATATGGTCGAAACACCGTAAAATGTGGCATGGTCATCAATGGGTGTGTAAATTCCTAAGAAAATGAATTGATGACCAACCAATGTGTGCAATTTACGGCACATGAAACAAAGCCCCGGTCTCTGCTCAAATGTCCATTATACATTGCTGGATCATTATTCTTGGTTAGATCATAAATGTGGATCACCGACGAGCCAGATAGCATCAAAAAAATCTGGCCTCAGCCTGGCTTCCTCAGTCTCCAGCCAGCCCATGGCCGCCTCCTGTCAATCTACAGATAGACAGGGTTGCTCCCTGCTGGCCCACACTAGTTGACCGGATGTTTGTGAGTCCAGGGTTCAGGTTAGTCCCTTGTTAGCCCAGCTCGGCTTGAAGTGATGCAACAATTTTTGTTGTCTGAATGGTACCCCATCCCAATCCTGGCCCCCTTCATGGGTCATCTCTCAGTTGTGGCTGCTTCAACGAAATCCCCATGGTTGTTGCTACTCAAAAGAAATCCAAAAAACGAATGTGGGTGTGACATTCTATGGGTAGTCAGAAGCCCAAAATCCGATGGACGACTGCAGCCGCTTTTTGCTCGAACTCCGTAGCCAGCATCGGCGTCTGAAAGCCAGGGGTGTCACAGGATGTTTCCTGCCGGCGCTGGGAGAAAAGATGGCAGAAATTGATTTGGAACCGGTAGTTGTAACCGTTAGTTGTAACCCCACAAAAGGTGAGATCTAGGATATCTCAGGATGATCCTAATAGATTTTCGTATTTTCGGGGTACAACTGGGGCAAAAAATCCACTGAGAAGCGGCAAAGTGGGTGTTGTGTTCATCTAATTAGCACCAGGGGTGTCAACAACCCTTTGGAACCCCCACAACTCTGCGGAGTAGGATCCACGAGGTGACTGGAGGAGAGATTGAGAGGAAAGCCCTCTTTGCAAGTCCCTGGTTCCTTCCATCTTCGAACTACAAAACGATTGACCGGTCAAATTTTGTTGTGCCATGTTGTGCCCACAGCCCACATCTGGATAGATTACAACACTTCACTAGAATTACGGCCAAATTTTGGGCCATCGGAATCAACGCGGTGCCTCACTTCTTCAGGGCCTCCGGCTGCTGAGAAAGGTGATGTTGGCAGGGTGCCAGATTGAGGGGGCTAAATCTAAGCTTAAGGTGGTTCAGTTCTTACATAGTCAAATTCCAATAATGATTGGGTAATCTTCAAAGATGACATTTCAGCCCTGTTTCAGGGGTATCCAATTCTTGGACAAACACAAAAGTCACACTTTAGATCTGGGCATCTACAAGTGTGGCCAAACTGCATAGATCCAATGCTAAACCAGAGCTCCTTCAGCTAGTATTTGCTATTGGGGGAAGACATTATATTATATCCATATGTTATGTATATATATATGTATATGTATATATATAATTATATATGTATATGTATATATAATTATATATGTATATGTATGTGTATATATATAAATACACATACATATATATATACATACAATGATACTGCGTATAAAATGTCATAAAAAAAACCCTTAACTTGGCTTGTCTACGTCTCTGAAACCACCACTGATGTTGGGCTCACGCATTCTTAATTCATATCGAATCCCCATATGTCCCTCTATGTCCCCCATATGTCCCCATTCTGCCAAAATTCAATCATCAAACCCTCCCATCTATCTGGACGAATCATGATAATTCTCCAAGATTATATTCATGTGTTTAAGCTGGATTTTGGAGGATCCCTACTAACCTTAATAACCATGACTTTATGTGGGTCTGGCTGAAAATAGTGTACCCCACTTGCAGTGGTTAGTCATCATTTTCCCAATAATATGTGCATAAGTGCAGACATGAATCCCCAATTTCCAAAGCCAGGCCATCCATTTATCCATTAAGAATCATCATCATCATCATCATCACCACCACCATTAACCATTGATAACCATTAATAGCCATTAATAGATCCATTGCCAACCACATCATCATCCATTGGTGAAGCCTCCCTATTCAGCATAGAAATCACTGTAATCACCGGCACCTTCTTCACCTCCTTGGAGCGCTTCTGCTTGGCGCACTTCACCTGGCTGGCTCAAATGAAGTACTAAAAAATAGCTATGGATAGTATATAAAAATACTATATGGGTATGTCTGAAAATGGGGTATACCCCCATAGCCATTTAGTAGGGATAATGATCAGCAAAACCATTGGGTGTAGGGGTACACTATTTTCAGACAAACCCATATTAATATAATGGGATATCCATGGGATAGAAAAATCGATTTAAGTAATTGAGAAGTTGAATAAGTTGAATGAACAATCACATGGTATAGTAATCTATTGCTATCTATGGCTTTTTGAAACTTTCCCAATGAACTTGGGCCAATATCAAGGGATCAGAATTCGATTCAGGCCAGCGGCCAGGGGGTGGACTGCAACGGTCCAACAGACCTAAAGTGAATCATTATTGGAGATGAGGATTGTTGGATACTTTGGAAATGATAAACTTGATTCTTGGTCTAAGCATTCTATGTTCATCAGATGTTCATCATTGGAATCATCACTATGGAAAAAAAAAACAGGAATGAGGTAGGCAATAGTTTTAATCATCATCATTGAAGTAACTAATTATCCACTTTTCATGTTCATCATTGAAAAACTGGATTCTAAATGCCGTAGCCTTCTTCGAAAGATAGATAAAGGCGCGCCTTAAAGCGGTCAAAGTCCGTCATGTTCTTGCGTGTCTCCTGCAGATCCAGGACATGATCTGATCGTTATACCGGTGTCATCCAGGGATTGCTGGAAAATCCACCATTTACCCTCTGGTTATTTAACATGGCCATGGAAAATCACCATTTTAAATAGGTAAACCATCTATAAATGGGCCATTTTCCATGGCTATCTTAAATAAGCAGAGGGTAATCATATTTAATCCCATCCCCCTAATATTAAACACCCCCTTAGAAACCATGGTTTAGCAGGGAAATTCCACATAATTCGGATACAGTGGGTGTGAAAAATGTTAGGCGGATGGGATTAGTCCGATGATGCGCCGAACGAAACCTCCACTTCGTTCGGGGATTTCCCAGCTAGCCACGTTTGATTGCATTCTGGTGATGAAATACCGGTAACTGTTGAACCACCGCCGAGGCAACTGGAACATGAAGATTCTTCGCATGAAATGGACTTTGATCCACGGCCCCATCATTGGGCGGTCCTAGTTAGATGGGTAATAAACCAACAAACATAGCTGTGCCTCCTCCCATTGCCACATCACATCCCATTGCAGGGCAGTTTCAATACGGCAGCCCATCCGATCAATGGAGTCGTTTAAGGGAAAATCTGCAGGAAACCATGTTTTTAACCTCCGAATATCAAGGTTTCCTCTACATCTTCTTCTATCATCCCTAAACAGAAATGTAAAGCATACTTGAAACCAGCGAAGGGTTTCGGTGGCTGAATTCCCAAAGCCAGAGATTTGAACATCATGAGAGACTTCTCTTCCAAAGTATTCAAAATTGATGATGCAATCATTTACACCTGCTATAATGTATCCCACCGATTTGCCCAATTATTGTTACCAGCTGCTCACATAACATCTGCTAAAATCATTCAGGTGACCGCTTTTTGGCTCATCTCAGTATGGGCCAAAATGCCAATCTTGGGCCAACTTCTCTGACCAATCCTTTTCAATCCTGTTTAATCCAACAAAAAAAGCATTCAAAATTGGTTTAAATCCGTTTCCACCAGCAATCCAACCACCTGGGTCTTAAGCTTCTTCGCCCAGCTAGTAGCCTGCCACCTCAAGAAAATGGTGGGGAAAATTATGAAACATGATCAAACCTGTCAAATATCCTGAATTTTCGATGTTTGTCCCCCGTCCTTTTATGGGCAACCACCAAGAAGTCCTCTAAAAAATCGTGGCAGCTACCGGTAAATCACGGGAATATCAGAATATCAACCAGCAAATGATGGAATCTGTTGTCACAATGTGGTTTAAAGATCAACCCATTGAAAATGATGCTATGAACCTGCAATCCTGCACCCAGAAACACTCGCATTTCCGGAGTGGCCGTTTCACCGTTTCGGGTTGAAGGTTTTGTTCATCCCCAGGTTGAAAAACCAGATTCGAAACCCCCGACCTTCTGGTGTCTGGAAAATCCATGAAAATCCCTCCATCAATGGAGGGCTTCAATGGGAAAATCAGCGAAGTAAATAGTGGATGTTCAGCCCACTTCCGGCATCCTACGAGGTACCCCGTGGTGGATCGATTTAGGGGAAAATCTACCAGAAACGCATGGTTTCTACGCCCAATTTTGGGCTTTTGCAACATGTTTCCCTAAAAAAAAACATGGGACGTGAACTACTTACTACTTCCATATATCATGAGTTTTTTTTTTTAGTTTTTTTACGATAAATCCAATTGTTAAGCTACCCTTCACCAACGCCCCAGCGTTGCGCGGCTCGCAGCGATTCCAAGGCACTTCTCCATGATTCCGCCCTCGGTCAAGGCCTTGGATTCAAATGGTACGTCCAAAAGCTTGGATGGCCTGGAAAAACTGCAGTATGTCGCAATACTAACCAGTTCCAAGACCGATGAGCACCAAAGAAGTGGATATAGATTGATCTTAAGAAAACTCGAGGATACAAATCATTCACTGTGAGGATACTCGGGGCAACAACTTCGCGGAACCATGGCGAAATGACCCATTGAAATCAAGGGAAGATCATCTCTTTTCCGAGCATTTCTCCAGGATATGTTAAAAATCCCTTCCAAAATCCCTTTAGAATCCTTTAGATATGGGATTGTAATATATATATATATGTGTATGTATGTGTTTCTCCTTTTTTGGGTGGTACAATGAAATACAAAAGCAAAAAAACGGGATATAGTTGAGCTTTTACCAACCATGGCTGGTTTTGTTGGAACCCACCATTTAAAAAAATTGGTTGTAGTAAAATTGCCCCATGCAGTTTTGGTTATAGATAGTTGTTTTGTTTTTTTTCTGACCCCCTAAATGAACCCAAGTATGTGCAAAATCCCTTATTAAACCATGGATATGGCAGTTTATGGGTGGTGCTAATATAATTAATGTTAGAGGGATGGGAAGTGACTATAAATCATCACCATTTTCTGACCTCCACGGCAGCCGCCTTCTTCAGGGTCTTCTCTTTGCAGCCGCGCTTCACCGTCTTCATGCCTGAACGCGTCCCGAGGTGCGCCGGAGCCCACAAGCTGTGGAAGTTGCCCCATTTGCCTAGTTTCCCATTGTGAGTTTCCAGTTCACCAACTGTTAGTGTACCAAATGGTATCACAAGAAAAGGTACCCTATGGGTTTCCCGTAACCCCTCCGCACTCCGCCCCAGGGGGTCGCACAGAAATCCGTCAAGCTCAATCGCTTGATGGGCATCATGTGACGTCGCACCTATGCCATGGCTCGCCAGAACTTGTTCCATGTGGATTCTCGGAATGGGAAATCCCCATAAATGGACATTTAATTGAAAAAAAAACGTATGAATTGGGCCAATTTCCATTGCCATGAAATGTGACAGCTTCCATTGCCAGCGTAGACATCTGCCTAAGCAAAAAAAAACTAAATCAATTAAATTCAAAAACTGATTTTTCAACATGTTTCCGAGAAAAAAAACAAATACACAATCACACGTCATATATATATATATCGTACATTATCGTACTGTACATACAAAAACACGACAAGAAAAAAATGTGTTTTCTGGCTTCCCCCGTATTCCGGAAGCAACGGCTCCAGTTCAGAAATCAGATCCACCCCTTGGTCCCCAACGCCCGTGACGCTCTCAGGGCCATCCACAACCACTCCTCAGCTTGTACTGAAAATCTGATGTCTGCCAAATGGAGGTCTGAAAACCTGGTGTCACAAAACAGTCCCAACATCTTTGGCTCTATGAGCCCAAGCGTTTAGAGATGTTTTGAGACGTTGAGAAACCTGGTGTTCTCCCAATTTCCATGATCATCCCAAATTCCAAAAATTCTCGCCAGTCGTTTGGATGGGGGGTGAACCATCACCATAGTGCCCCATTTTTCAAAGCTGGTCACCTACCATGACTGGCGCCAGGATCGCAGCCCAGGATCGCTTCTGGTCCACGATATCAACGATGGTGCACCTTGGACGCAGCAAGGTAAGCCCATGGTTCAGAGGGAAATTGATGAGAAAACATCAGATGTGGTTCCAAATCTTCAGACACCCCCACCTCACATAGTACTTGGTGGATCATCTCACTTACTAAGTAGATCTAAGTAGGTTAGTTCACCATTTTTATAAGTGGATTAATCCGACTCATCCTGAAAAAATCGGGGATATAAGCTATATCAGCTATATACTTAGTGGGATGATCCAGGAAGTAGGGAAGTAGACCATCTCCGGTTTTTTTTGTCAAAACTCCTCAGATCCACCTGACGTTTGGCTCCCAAGGCTTTCACCGGTGGTGAAATCACTGCTTGAAGCCCAAGTGAGTTCTATAGGTGGGTGTGTCTGAAAATGTCGTGTACCCCTAAACCCAATGGTTTTGCTGATCATTATCCCTATGAAATGGCTATTTGTTTGGGAATATACCCTATTTTCAGACAAACCCAGGTGAATTCTACATGTCTGTTACCCTCTGGTAAATTAACAGTTCGACCCTGATTTTATCACCCATTTATAGTGGTTTCACTAGTCTTCCAACCCCTATCTGGCAGGGTCTATGTTAATTTACTGGAGGGTAGTATTTATTGAAATGATTAGTCTAGATTCCCCAGCTGTAGCTTCTGAAAAGTCAAAAGTTCTGCAGTGGAATTTCCGATTGTTCCTCTTGAAACTCCCATTTCTTCCTGTTGAAAACGCGCCATTTTGTATAACTTGCCAAAGTACATCTTGCCCGTGCAGGGGCCAAAGGTGATCAGGGCCAATCGGCCAGGCTCCACAAAGCGCTTGAACATGCTGACGGTCATGGTGCCTGGAGAGCTTCCGGCTTGCTCAGCTCAAGGCAAAACAGATCGATCTATCTACCTATCCATCCGTCAGTCCGTCCGTCCGTCCATCCATCTATCTAACTATCTATCTCTCTCTCTCTCTCTCTGTCTCTGTCTCTGTCTCTGTCTCTGTCTCTGTCTCTCTCTGTCTCTGTCTCTCTGTCTCTCTGTCTCTCTGTCTCTCTGTCTGTCTGTCTCTCTGTCTGTCTGTCTCTCTGTCTGTCTGTCTCTCTGTCTGTCTGTCTGCCTGGCTGTATGTCTGTCTGTCTGTCTAGCTGCCTGCCTGTCTGTCTGTCTGCCTGTCTGTCTCTGTCTGTCTCTCTGTCTGTGAATATATATATATATATAATCATATATATATAATACAATGTATATATATACATATACATACATATTTATATATATATATATATATACACACACATGGTATACATCTGTGTGGTCTATAGATGTGACAATGGGGAATCAACCAACAAACTTACATCAAAGGGACACGGGGTATCATGGCTATTGGGATGGGAATGGCGACAGAACCAAAAGCACGCCTGCTGGGTCTGTTGGTTGGACCAGTGCAAGAAGTAGGTGTTGAGGCTGAAATGGCTGAGAAAGCAATGAGCTCACCCAGTGACTGTGGGTCAAGCTAAGTCAAGCGCAAAAATTCGTCGCGCTCCAGTGCGAGAGTCAGGATCATCATACCAGTTTTATGATGTGGGGATGGAAATACAAAAGATTTGCCCAGCAACCAATTTGCTCACCATGATCATCTGGGAGCTATAGCAGCTATCAGCGGTGAAATGGGATGAAATGGATGCCAGTATGCCAGTATTTGGGACGGGATATTCTCCAAAAAGCTTCGAAATATCAGCAACATTTGGGGTTCTTGCAAATGGATAGTAGCCCTGATCGCCATCCAAATTCCTTCGCTGTGTTCGGGCACAGAGCAGGCACTTTTCAGCCGTGTGTCCTTGGGAGATCTCTCCGTGGTTTATTTAGATTTTTTAGATTTGCTTCGTTCATGTATCGTTCCCAAAAAAAACACAGAAACAACTGGGGATGGGTCAAAACCCTATCCCCCTGTAGTTCACATCAAAATAGCTGGGATTTATGGATGTTCATCCCCCTAAAAATGGTATGTATAGGTATTGATCCATAGCCAACTCCCAAACGAAACCTTGGTGGAATGAGCTGGATCATCAATCATCTTGCGCTGGTTTTCTCAGAGGAGAAACATGGTCCTCTCCCATCCAGCACCCAGCCTTCAGCGACTTCAGGAAAACTGTCCGATGCTCGCCTAAGGGGCCAGGTCCAGCCTCCGTTCAAAAAAAAACCGTTCCAACTCAGAAAAACTCCACACATTCGTCATCATTTGTGGTATCATAGGTGTTAACCCATTCCCAAATATCAGTGGAAATGAAGCGTTTGGAATGGATGTTGCTTTGGAGTTGAGTCCTCCGGTAAAAAAGATCCTCCCTGTCGGAACTTCAAACGCCTTGCTTCAAGCCCCACCAGGCAGTGAAACCTCCAACCAGAAGACTATGCTCGTCGGATGGAAAACAACCAACAAGCCAATCAGGCCCCCAAATCAACTGTTCTGTACCCATCATGTCTCCATGTTAGATGGTTTTAGTATCATGTTTAACAGTTGATTCCCATCTAAAATCAATATATATATATATACCATTGAAATATATTGAAATCATCAGTTGATTCCCATCTAAAATCAATGATGATATCATATGATATACCATTTACCCTCTGGTAAACGTTTACATAACGAACTGGAAAATCACCATGTTTTTTTAGCTGGGTAAATCCACTATGTCTATATTCTATGGCCATTTTCAATAGCTATTTTGACATCACCAGAGGGTAAATCATCAAATTCCCAGCCCCATTTCATCTCAGACATCGCCAAGGACACGCATCAGGCGGCCCATTGCTAGGCCATCCCAGAAGATGGCGTAGATGAACCTGGGGCGGAAGTTCTACAGCTAGACCTAACACAAAAAGATAAATATATGTACATATATATATATATATGTATAAATGTAAATATACATATATATATATACATATATATATATATGTATATATATATATATGTAGATATATATATATATGTAGATATATATATATGTAGATATATATATATATATGTGTTTTCCCTTCGGCACATTGATGCGGTTCTTGCTGCGGCACGTCGGGTAAATTCAACACTGTGTAGATATATATATATATATATGTGATTCAAAAATCAATGAAACCCATTCGAACAATGATCTACAAATGGTGGCTTTTCCACATGTATGCTAGTTTATAAGAGGGTATTAATTGAATCCATTTGAACTTTATTTGGGATTTGTCTGCAAAATAGGTTCCATCCCCCAAAATCTAATGCTTGGTTTGATCACCTTTTTGGCGGGATAACATCCGATTTTTCCGAATCCACCCAAGATCCCAAGGGCAATTTGGGGCCCAGAAAGCCCATTTGATACCAGTATGTCCCATGATATTCCAATGATCGTTGGTTTGGTTGCCATCCCCCCAAATAACAGTCAATGACATAGTTCCTGGCACAAGTTCGTAGGGTGGAAGACGACTTTCCTCCAGAAATTGGGTGGTGTCCCATCCCCTCTTTGAGGTGACGAGCGAAAGGCTTACAGTATGGGCAAATCTGAACCACCACGTTTTCCCACGTTAAAAAAAGGGCAAATCTTCACCGTCAGGTGGTCACCGTCTTGGGGGGTTTGAATCTCCATCTCAGCCTCTGAGCCCCCTGGCGCTAGACACAAGAAACGGGTGGGCAGAAGCCAGGCCACCACTAGCAGCACCAGCACCTGGAGCATGGCTACACCTTTGGGGGGACCCAGGGGAAACTAGCGTAGATGTGGAAAACCCATGATTTCCCGATCTACAAAGGGTCTTTCCACATCTATGTTAGTTTTTCCCATGGTATCCATTTACCAGCTGTTTTTGATGTTGATTTATACAAGGATTTTGAAGAGTTTGACACACATATAGCAACTCCCAAAACGATCGAGCATGCTAAATGTCCATGTCAGGTCCATAGTTCTCTGTTATATTCTTTTATGTTTAGCTCAACCATCTCTGCCTAAATCGGGCTGAGATGTTGAACCTGGAGGACTCTCTCTGCAGCGAGGAATAATTAATAATAATAATAATAGTAATAATAGTAATAATATGTTCTTTTGTGTGGTTGCAATTCTCATCCCAATCTGGAGGATGTAATTTTGAGCCACACCCATGTGACAATGAGGTAGCTCCAGGAAGGTGCACCAAACGGACCATCCACACACTTGACTTCACCTACAAACTCTCAAAATAACCCAAAGGCACCATGCAACATATGGATACATATGGTACTTACCTCCAAGTAAGTCCTGCGGACAGAACCTTCAGGACCCTTTTTCGGGATAATTTTTTTGGGTGTCTTTCTGCCACGTGAAGTCAGGTGATAGGTCCAAATTTGCCACATTCAATGTGAGGCCCCCGTTCGATATGTTTGTTGGTTTAGATTCGCCCCAGTAACTAGTTCGTTATAAAATGCTATAAATACATATAAATACCATAAACCATAGTGACATTGGAGTTATTAGTTCACCCCAACTGAACGCGATCGTTTGGCCGGGGGCCTCACATTGGTCTTACACATTGCTCCGACATGAACATTCCCATGATCCGAGGTGCCAGGAGCAAGGCGAAATTCTGCGTTTCCAGGGTCCTTGGAGGCGGAGAAAATATTTCATGATATGATATAATAATATTTGATGATAATGTAGTACAATATTATTATCCAGTTTCTGGAGTTTCTGGACTTTCTGGTCCTCTTTCTTTCTATCTTTCTATCCTTCTTTCTTTCCATCTTTCCTTCTGTCATTCCTTTGTTCCTTCTTTCCTTCCTTCCTTCCTTTCCTTCCTTCTGTCTTTCTTGCCTGCCTGCCTGCCTTCCTGCCTTCCTTCCTTCGGTCCTTTCTTCCTTTCTTCCTTTCTTCCTTTCTTCCTTTCTTCTTTCCATCTTTCGCTCTTTCTCAATATTTTTTCTGTGTCTTCTGTTTCAATTTTTGAAGATTGTTTGCCCAGCGGAAGAAAAAAGAGAGAAAACAAAAGTGTGTTCTTCCCTCACTGTGATATCGATTTCCGAACATATTCCAAAATGATGTATGATATATTATATTCTTTCGTCCAGCTGGGGCTGCTAGTAAGTTCATCAGTTGCTCAATGCACAAACGGATACCGTCTTTTACCAGGTGACTGACCACCAGAACACACTTTATAAGATCAATTGGGAGCCTCAAAGACCACTCCATGCAGTTGTCTCTGATAAATCAGAAAAAAGATAGGACTTTTATGCCCAGGAAAACGGAGTCTGTCCTCCAAATTTGGGGGTCCCCTGCAATCTTTTCTTCAACCGTAGCCGTAGCATCTCTGGGACCCGCGCCCGCCCAGGATCAGGTTTTTTCGCCGCTCGTACCAATCCATCCAGTACCTGATCACTTGGATTTGGACCATCCGAAACGGTGAAAAACGGTGGCTTTATACGGTTTAATCATCAAAAATCGTGGAACATGAAAAACTGGTGAAACATTGAAAATTACCCATGAAAAATAGGGAAATTCGCCAATGGATCAAGATGATAATGGATGCTTGGGTTTGTCTGCAAAATCACCAAACAGTCATGTGGACGGCAACTGCGCACATGTTGAACGTGACCAGGTGACATGTTGCTATGGCTAGTCTGGTCAACTAGTCAACCAGTCAGATCCGTTTTGCAACATCCAGCGATATTCCACTTGTACAAGACAGAAATAATGGCACACTTGACTCCAAAGTCAATCATTTGCCACGTGCTACCACCCTTTGACAAGTCAGCTGCCCCCAACCTTGACAGGTTTGGCTGAACAGGGCCCCAGGGACCCAGACTCAATCTGCCGCTGGAGAAAACTCAAGCGCAGCAAGTACCTGAAACAAATCCAACGATCTAGTCAGATTTTTGAAGTCATATATGGCTACGAACAACAAAAAACGGGAGACACAACCAAAAACCGTAGGGCTGGCAAAGCAGAAATGCGAGTCATTTTCGGCTTGCTGCATCTCGAGTTTGAAAATGGCTCTCCCACTGATAAGAAACATTAACCACCGCCCTAATTTTGGTAAGTTTAATTTTATGACAGTATGGGCTAATTTTGAAAATGACACTATGAGCTAGTTTTCATTTAGAAATACCCTCTGGTAATTTAACGTAGCTATTGAAAATGGCCATTAATAGTGGATTTTCCCATTAAAAATGGTGATTTTCAATAGCTACGTTAAATTAACAGAGGGTATACAGTAAAACCTACCGCCCTTTGCATACCACATGTCATCCCACCTGTACTGGGTGGTAACCCTACTGAGTAGGTATGGCTCACTGCAGAATACTTCCACTGGATGGTCAAGGAATATATTCGTCATCACTCCAATATATATATATATATATAAATATATATATATATATGTAGATATGTATATATATATATAGAAAATTATAGATATAGATAAATATATATAGATAGATATAGATATAGATAATTATATATATAGATAGATAGATATAGATAATTATATATATAGAGACAGATGGAGGTTTCCTGAAATGGTGGTACCCCCAAATCATATCATCCATTTAAATTTAAATAGGATTTTCCATTATAAACAATCCATTTATTTTGGGGTACCACCATTTCAGGAAACCACCAGTACCACCATTTTAGGAAACCACCACATATATATAAACCCATCCAATGGGTTAAAATCTTTGTTCACACGCTCCAGTGCTGTCAACTATGTTCTCCCATCATTTGCCGTCCATCCCTCACTGTAGCCTGACTTTGTAATCTCAGATCATCTGCATAAAGAAAAAAAAAACGCTGGGCCATAATATAACCCCAGCAGAATCGCAAAAGATAAAACTATGAAAATACCCAAGCAGCCCAACCAAGGTTTCCGTGGCCAAAAGGGGCACTGCTGGTACATGTCGTGGAAGGGCGTCCGTGCGATGCCAAACTCCAAGCCTTTCGCCTGTGCCAGGTGTCTCATGGTTGGTGAGGTTCATCCCATCAAAGAGGGTCAGTTCAACCCAGCTCCAGTAGGGGCCCAGTAGGGGCAAGGTCCATTTATAATTTCAAGCACCAATTACCCTCTGGTCATTTAACATAGCCATGGAAAATTGCCCATTTATAGATGGTTTACCTATTAAAAATGGTGATTTTCCATGGCTATGTTAAATAACCAGAGGGTACCATCTCGATGTTTGGTCGAATCATTGATCTCACAGTGAAATGCTTGCGAGCAGAATGACCAGCCAATGAGTGGCTCTAGGGTGTAACAAATATGTTGGCTCAGACCCAAAGATTCGTTGTTGGTGTTCGTTCTAGCCGCCATCTTCTGTTGAGGAAGATCCCCTGTTGTTTGTTGGTGAAATCCTTATGTTTGTTGTCTCTCCCTCTCCACATACAGGTTTTTGCAGCGTAAGCACGAGGCTACATAAGCATTCTTACGATCACGATGGGGCAATTCAACATTCCTTGCGGTTTAAACGCTTAGTTTCCAAGCAGATAATCTGTTGGAATTATGCATTTTCAAATTTCAGCCAATCCAATCCCCTGATTCTCTGTAGTGAAACCTTGGGATCCCTATTTTTGCTCATCAATCCCTATGGCCCTATGGTTTCTTCTATCCCCACATGTTCGACCCCCTGTGTTTTTTCATATTTCAAGCTCTGTGTGGTTCAATCTGCTTTCCTTCTGTAGCACTTAAAGTGCTTCAGCTGCTTCAATGTGTCTCTTCAGCTTTCATCTTAGCATCTTGACATCGAAAAACTATTTCTTCTTTCTGATGACCATCTGCACCCTTTTCAATCGTGATCATTCCTTTTTCTTCTGCTTATAATGCATTTGTTACATACTTATAACTTTTACTTATTACATTGTCTTAATACTAACAACTAAGTAACTTGCTCCTCTACGCTCTCGGGCCATCCGTCGTCTAGTCTAGCAGCTCATGAAAATGCACCTCATTGCCTTCGGCGGCAGTCTGAGACTCCTTTCCTGTTGGATGAGATCCTCACCCCGAAAGGGTCATCACTGGGGGAAGCAACAGAAATGGTGCTACAAACCCACCACTTTTTGAGATTTAAAGCAAAATGGTGTGAGTATTCAACTAGATTAAGCTAACCAAAATGCTATACAAATGGCTCGAAGTGGTGATCTAGCCAGCAAAAATGGAAGCTTCAAATCAACTATGTGCTGTGAATATCGTGGGATTTTTATTGGGATAAGCCCAAGGTGATCCCCAAAAAAAGGATCTAAGGGTTGACGAAGCACTAACAACCACTACTAAGTTACTAATAGGGGCTTATCAACCATCCATTCTTGGGGAGGTCAACTTTTGGTGTGTTGCTTGAATTCCCCATAAAGATTAGAATGCCTTGCCAACAAACCCAAGTGGAAACCACAGCTGAATGACTACATGTGATGACTTTTCATTTGGGGGCTTGCTGAATCTCAAATAATTCCTAATCACTGACCAAGTCTGGGCTTTACAAACACAAAAACTTCGGGTTCTGCATTGTGTTTACCACATTCTCCCTGCGATCGCAATGAACCCTTCGGACTCTTCCACCAGGCTTTCAGTGTTGGGAAAGGGGGGGAAGGGTTTCACCAACGTTGGGAATAAATTGATTGTTTGGCGATTGGGAATATTGGATTTACATTGGGAATACATGCCCATTGGTGCCAATGTAAATGCCCATAGATCCGGATCAACGGATCAACGTGTTCATCTCTACTGGACTTGGGTCCAAAAATGATGTATTGTTCTTTTGTTAATGACAATTGCTATGTTGGGATTCTATATATACTGTACCTCTATATATATATATATACCATGTACATATATATATATATATATATATATATACATGTATACATCTATACATATATCATCTAATGTGTATATATATATATTATGCATGATCCATTATGATCTTTCATGTCTGGACGCCATTTTTGATGATCAAAAGTGCTGATCTCTTTGCGCTGCAAGGGGCTGCCCATAGGCATCTCGCCACTGCTGGAGAGCCTTGGCTCGGCTCCAGTCAAATGTCTAGTTTGGAGGTCCCCGGTCCCAAATGGCATATATATATATGTGTATAAATATATATATATATACACATATATAGTATGTATATAAATATAGGATATATATATATATGGATATATACAGTACAGTATACATACCCTCTGGTGAACTAACATAGCAATGGAAAATCACCATTCTTAATGGGAAAATCCACTATAAATAGCCATTTTCCATTGCTATGTTAGTTTACCAGAGGGTATATAATGTATTATTATGTTTACGCTCCATATGGAATATAGTTTTTGCCATGGAAAAAAAAGAAATCGATGCCATCAAGGCCAGGACAGGGATGGCCTTGGAGTGCGTGCCTGCGAACCAAATACGGAGATTCCGGGAGAACTGTGGAAAGATGGACTTTATCTGTAAAAAATCACCATTTTTCATAGGTAAACCATCTCTATAAATGGACCATTTTCCCTGGCTATGTTTAATAACCAGAGGGTATGTATGTATATATACATATATATATATATGTGCTACCCCAAAAGAATATATCCTGAAGAATTTGATACCACTCTGCAAATATGCGTTTACATCTTTAAATGTACAAAGTGTCCCTCACCTGAAGATAAGGATCATCCAGGTTGTACACTGTATGTCACACACATGCAGCCAAAACAGAGCCAAAACTGGAGACAGCAGCCGAAAACAAAGGTTAGGTCGCTCATCTATGGGTCAAAGATGTGGAAGCCATGCGCCAAATTGATCCAAATTGGTCTACTTTGGGATTAAATCCTGCACCAAATTGGGAGGAGACGATAGTTTTGACCCATAGCTGCCATAGCTCTCCAAGTGAAATCGTCTCCACGGGATGCCATACGAACTGCCTGCGCCCCTCTCTTGAAACTCGAATACGAACTTGGCAGCAATCCTGATTTATTGAGTCGCAATACCCTCTGGTAATTTAACATAGCTAACTGGAAAGATCCACCATTTTTAATGGGAAAATCCACTATTTCTATGGTCATTTTCAATAGCTACGTTAAATTACCAGAGGGTAAATCAATGTTTATCATGGAAAATTATTTCAACACCCAAAAGTCCAAAGGCTTCCCCAACAGAAAAAAAAACAACACCTTTGGACTTGGGACATGGTCCATGCAACATGGTATGTTGGGTCTCTGGGTGTCACGACACCAGAAACTCACCATGGTATGTTGAAAATCAACCGCTGATATGCTGTTCCTTTGGACATTGGACAGATGTGTTTTTTGTCTTTCTGATTTGTTTCTATGGTTTTCCTGTCCGACTGTGGGTCTCAAGTCGATACTGTACCCCCAAGAATCCATCTAAAATCCAGATCACAACTTCCCAGCCATCACTGAAGGTGAATCCTCCAATGTTAAAAAACCCAATCTGCCTTGAGGTCAGGCGTCTCCACACCTGCGGGGTTAAGCGAAACCGGCCAGTTTTCTCCACCAGGGGAATGTCCAAACAGTAAATGCGAATGACATCAACATTTAACTAAATAATGTCCACTTTGCCTTACCATTAGCATCTACTAATGTCACCAATCATAGTGTAATTTGCTGACATCAAAAATTCAATCTGAATGTCACCAATCTACTGCGAACCCGGCTCTCCCAGAATTCGATAAGGGACCTTTTACAGGTGTTACACTCAATATGATATTTCCAGGCAAAAAGTTGAAAACAATTCCTTTTCCCAGGAACAAAAAAACTTGGAAAAGCAAGATCCCATTTTAAAAAAAATGTGTATACAGTGTGCATACATACATACGTATGTATATATATATTATTATATACCCAAATGATTAATTTACCCAAACCATATCGGGTATCATTAATATCCCATATATCTCCATATATCGGGAAGTCGGTTGGAGCCCAGTCGGTCAGCCACCTGGAAGTTCGCCGCGGTTCGAGCTGTTCTCCTTGGGTGTCCTGGAGCCCTGCAGATGGCCGTACACTGCACTTAGAAACTACTAGGTATATGTATAATGCATGTATGTATCTATCTATCTATCTATCTATCTATGTATCTATCTATCTATCTATCTATCTATCTATGTATCTATCTATCTATCTATCTATGTATCTATCTATCTATCTATCTATCTATCTACCTATGTATCTATCTATCTATCTATCTATTTATCTATCTATGTATCTATCTATCTATCTATCTATGCATCTATCTATCTATCTATCTATCTATCTATGTATCTATCTATCTATCTATCTATGTATCTATCTATCTATCTATCTATCTATGTATCTATCTATCTATCTATCTATCTATGTATCTATCTATCTATCTATCTATCTATGTATCTATCTATCTATCTATCTATCTATCTATGTATCTATCTAAATCTATGTATTCTATCTATCTTAGCTATCTATCTATGTATCTATCTATCTATCTATCTATCTTGTATCTATCTAATCTATCTATGTATCTATCTATCTATCTATCTATCTATGTATGTATCTATCTATCTATCTATCTAATTAGCTATCTA